CTTCCTCTTTCTCCACCACAACGATTTGTCTGAGGCCTTGACCTCCCAGCACCGATCCTACGCGCATGGTTTTGTTCGCTGTCAAGAGAGGGAACATGACGAAGCACACCGCGAGCAGTGGCTCCAACTGGTTGGTTTCGTGGGCTGCCAAACTCCCAGGTCCCCAAGCTACACTACCTGGAAGTGGAGGGATGACCGCTGAACCCGAGAGACCAAAGAGGCGATGAACTTCAGCTTCCACGGCGGAGACCAAGCAGGGACTGTGCCGAACCACGGTACACGCTGTTGACTTCAAAACACAACATCCAATAGGGATGCCTGGGACATGGCCGGGTGTTGTCCAATCCCGTGGAGCCAGGAACATGCTCTTTCATTTCGGTGGTTTTGGGCTCCACGGGATTGATTACAATGACTCTGAATCCATTCTTCACGGTGCTTTTCCATCTGATTCTGCGTAACAAATAAGAAAATCACGCCATCGTCCATGCCGGATGCCAGTCCTGAGCGGCTGCTTTTCGTTGGGCACGAAGTCAACTCCATGTCTTTGACCCACACATTGACCATCCACGAAGAAGCTGACCTAGGGCACGAAGCAGCGCCAGCAGCCAGGCCAGTGCCCACATCAGCTGAAAAACCAATGGTGAAACCGTAGCCATCATCCCCGAGGCGCTGCGGCGCTGATATTTCTTTACCAACTGAGAAAGGCCGGCCTCTGATTTTGTGTCCGAAGGTTGTGAGACTTGTTGCGAGAAATCGTTAAACCATTAGCTCCTGGCCTTACTACTAGTAACAAGAAGCTATACTAGGAACAAAGGGCACCGCTACTAGGAGCAAGACGCTACTGGTAGCTCCTGGCCTTACTACAAGAAATCATCAAATCGTAATGCAAAATTGATTTGAGAGTTCAATGGATTCAATGGCCCTGCAAATCCCTGCAGCCAGCGTGAGGAGTCTGCGAGGAATCAATATATGTTCAGAATCATCTACTGTGGTTGCACAGGCACTTAGTTCGCAAGGGAATCCACGTCACGCACGCACCGAATCGGGGCGGTTTTCTGCTGCGCTGCCAATCGCAATCGATGTTCTGCCGATCGAGGCACCGTGCGCAGCTGCGCGTCGTACATGCCTTGCAGCTGCGTCATGCGAGGCTCCATCGGAGGGCCTTCCGGGCTCCGCGCGGACACGGTCCAACCGATCCAACGACTCGCGCGGGCCGGTGGGTCGTGGAGGTTCTGGGCGTGTGAGATGTTCTGAACTCGGTCTTGAGGACATTTGAGGATCGTGGGTGACGCTATTCCATGAAGCAGCGGCGCAGCTATGGGAACTTGGGAACACAAATGATTCATCGCTACAACACTCATCCTTTTTCATTGGCTTGTTCACCCCAGAAAAATGGCGGGCAGCATTCTGCAGCAATAAGCTACGTACAACTTGAGAGCACAGCAGTGTACAGCAGTTGAGGAACCTTTGGTTGTGTTCAATCCGGTTTTCCATTGGCTTTACACTCTCCAACAAGGATTCTAAACATAATGTCAAAACGGTCTTCGAATGCATAGCAAAAGCAGCGGTCCTTGGGGGGTTCGAATACCATAGACACAGCTTTTAAGTCTTGGAATTTGGGGTGGCCTTCTCCTCTTATCCCCATCGCGCAAAGCACACCCCATCTCACCGCGATGAGCGCCCCAACGACCCGGCACCTTGCACGCCGCTCCAGTAGTGGCCATCGCCCACCCAGAAGGCCCACCGGTCATCTCCATCCACATAGAAGACGTAGCCCGACCTGGCGCGGGGGCCACGCAGGGCTGCGCGACGGACGACCTGAGTCCAAGACCAAGCGCGACCAAGACCCAACGCAGGCCCAAAGGTAGCACGAATCTGAATGCTACAAGAGATCTGCAGCCGAATCCTTCAATTCCGGATCACCAGACTTCCAAACCCAAACACTCCATGTGTGCCATGCCGATCAGTTGGGGTGGTTTTGGGGGTTCAATGTCGGCATCTATGGGAGTCCCATGGAGTGTTTGGGACATATATTCCAGATTCTGATTTCATTCTGGAGCATCTGAAATCTTTTGCTTCCGACCATGTAACAGTTTAACACGTCCAGAGGTCTCTTTCGGGAAGGTCTCATTCGGTTTGTTGCCTACCAACGCGCCCCTGCAACGAGAAGGTGTCGGTGTCATCCCCCAAAGAGTTCCAGGCATCATTGAAGCCACTTGAATTGGAGCGATTCAAGCAGCGATTGGGCAATCTGCGACAGTGACAGTCTCTACTTCACAAAACTATGTTCACTTTGCACTCAATCCTTGCTCTGCAAGGATTGAGTTGTTTCATTGTGTTTCCCAAACAGGGGAGTGCTTCAAAACTAAGGACCCCCCAACATGCCCAGTAACTTGCTAGGCGATAGGATCGAAGCAAAGACTGTTCCCTTGTCGGCTGCATGCAACTGATTGCGGAAGCTGGCCAAACAACCGTCCAGCGAAAAACATGCGCATGGTGACTGGTGTCAGAGATGGACAAATTACGTTAGTTAGATGTCACTGGGGTCGCCATGTGCTCCGCCATTTTTTGTGGGACCCACTCCTACTCCACCAATGTAGATACTCATTACTCCCCACTCATACTCCTACTCCACCTGTGTTGCACGGGGAGAGCTCCGCCCACCACGCGACTCACCGGGTTCCCCCAGCGGTGGCTCCGCATCGCGGCTCGTCGCCGGCGAGCGGAAGCCGCGGCCGCCCTGACAGCCTCGGTGGTGCCCGGGGCACGCGACGCTCTTCGGTCAGCCATAGAGTGCCAGGCCATACACAAGTCAGGCCAGTGATTTTAATGGAACATCTAGAGGAATCCCCATCGTTTTGCGGGTGAAGACCAAGGGGTTTCCTTTAACTTTTCACAAAAACCAATTCATTGATATACGTGGAATGAGTCTGGGAATGATGAATGCGAAAGAGGTAAATGTAAATGAATGCATACACGGATGGCGAACACCTATTATAATATACACTGGCCAGAAGAAAGTTGCGCTTCTTGATGTTGAAACTCATGACAACCCTATCCCCCTACTAGAATCCTACACCATGACACAAGGGAAGGTGTGGGCGGTCATTTG